CTTTACCACTGAGCTATATACCTAGTCCTATTTATTTTTTGGTTTTGTTTTTTTAGTTTTTTTTGTTGTTGTTGTTGCTGTTTGGTACTGGACATTGAACCCAGGGGCACTGAGCCACATCTCGGGCCCCTTTTATTTTTTATTTTGAGACAAGGTCTCACTCAGTTGCTTAAGGCCTGGATGAGTTGCTAAGGCTGGCTTTGAATTTGCAATTCTCCTGCCTCAGCCTCCTGAGCCACTGGCATTGTAGATGTGTGCCACGTCACCCAGCTTATTTTTTTTGTTTTGAAACAGGGTCTTGCTAAGTTCCTGAGAGTCTTGCTAAATTGCCCAAGCTGGCCTTGAACTTTCAGTTCTCCTGCCTCAGCTTCCCAAATTGCTGTGATTACAGCCATGCCCCATCCCACAGGGCAGGACTGCCATTCTTATTATAGTTCAGGATACTTCACAGTAGGTATCATGTATTGGTATAAAAGGGAAACTGCTGAGGAAGATAAGAGAGTCCTTAATTAACCCATTTTGTCACATCATCCCAGATGTGGAACACCCACAAAAACTTAAATTGAACAATAAATATATGTTCAATTTATGATAACTTTGAAATCATTATTATATATGCAGAATTGAAAATTTGGGACTAACCACCATGCTAACCAGGCATGGTGGCATACATCTATAATCCCAGCAACTCAAGGTGCTGAGGCAAGAGGTTTACAATTTTGGGGCCAGCCTCAGCAACTAAGCTAGACACTGTCTTGAAAAAAAARAAAAAAAAAAAAGGTCTGGGGATGTAGATCAGTGATAAAGCACCTCTGGATTCAATCCCCAGTACCATTAAAAAAAAAAAAAAAAAAAAGCTGGGCATGGTGGTGCAGGCCTTTAATCCCAGCAATTTTGGAAACTGAGGCAGGAGAATTCCAAAATCAGCCTAGCAATTTAGTTAGGCCTTAAGTAACATAGCAAGACCCTTTCTCTTTGGGGGTGGGTGGGTGGGGCAAAAAATAAAATTTGGGACTTAATGGCTTAAAGGATTTCCCAAGCACAATAGTCTAGGAACAGGTCCAGCCACAGGATACATTTTATATAATTTTTAAAATTTGTATTTGTTTATTATTTTATTTATTTATGTATTATTATGTTGCAGCACTGGGATTGAGCCCACTGAGTTACATTCCTAGCCCTTTTTTATTTTTTGAGATCTTGAATTTTTTTTWAAATATTTATTTATTTAGTTTTAGTTTTTTCGGCGGACACAACATCTTTGTTTGTATGTGGTGCTGAGGAACGAACCCAGGCCGCACGCATGCCAGGCGACTGCGCTACTGCTTGAGCCACATCCCCAGCCAGAGATCTTGAATTTGAGCTCTTCCTGCCTTAGCCTTCTAAGTGGCTAGGATCACAGGCTTGAGCCACCATATCTGGCTGGCTCTTGGAATATAATTTAGCCACAACTTTGCATCAACTCAGGTTCTGAAATCTCCATAAAAGTTGTGAAACTGAAGAAATCTGGGGAAGAAGAAGAAATCTAATTGTTAGATTAGTCCTTACTGTGGTGTATATGACTTACCTGGTTCATGAAATTCCTGAGCCTAGACAAAACAGAAAGCTTACACTTTAAAGGAGCCCCTAACCTAGAGGGTGACAAGAGGTACAGAGCAGTATGTTGTTTGTAGCAAAGTGCAAGGTTAAAAACAGGATCATGCAAGTAACAAGGTCATCATGGGATTTTTTTTTTTTTTTAAGTGCTTGTAATGGTACCCAGGGCACTCTAACTCTGAACTATACCCTCAGTCCTTTTATTTATTTATTTGTATTTATTTTTGTGGACTCTGCCACTGAGCCACACCCCCCAGCCCTTTAAAAAATTTTTTCATTTATTTACTTATTTTGTGTTTTATTTTTTCTACTCCTGGGGATGGAACCTAAGACCTTGTGGATACTAGGCAAGCACTGCACTACTGAGCTATATTCCCAACCCTTTGGGGTTGTTTTGTTTGTTTGTTCTTTGTGGTACTGGGAATTGAACCAAGAGGTGTTTTACCACTGAGCCACATTCCCAGCCCTATCTTATTTGTTTGTTTGTTTATATTTTGAGACAGAGTCTTACTAAATTGTTTAGGCCTTGAACTTGTGATGCTCTTGCCTCAGATTCCTGAGTTGCTGGGATTACAGGTGTGTACCAGCTTATTTTTTATTTTTATTTTGAGACAGGGTCTTGCTAAGTTGTGCAGGCTGGCCTTGAACTTGTGATCTTCCTGCCTCCGTCTCTGAGTAACTGAGATTAAAGTTATGTACTAACATGCATGGCTTCTTTTTTTCTTTGTTTTTTCTTTATTTAGTTAAATTTTTGTTTTTGTTTTTATTGTTATTATTCTTGTTTTGCAATGCTAGGGATTGAACATAATACCTTTCAAATGTTAGGCAAGCATATGTTAGGCAAACACTACTACTATTCTTCTGAATAGTCAGTCAGAAGCACATGGGATATATACTTAACTAAATAGATATAATACTTCAGAATACAGTACTACTATTTAGAAGAAATTCTGAGATCCTACAGTTAGGGAATCTGGTTAGGTAGAAAACTTTGAATTATTATTTTTTTTTTATTGGGGGGTGGTACCAGGATTGAATTTAGGGGCACTTGGCCATTGAGCCACATCCCCAGCCCTATTTTGTATTTTATTTAGAGATGGGGTCTCACTGAGTTGCTTAGCACCTTGCTTTTGCTGAGGCTGGCTTTGAACTTGCAATCCTCCCACCTCAGCCTCCCAAGCAGCTGAGATTACAGACATTTGCCACCATGACCAGCTAATTTGTTTTCAATAGGGTTCAATTTCCTAGGATACAATTTGTGCTTAATGTTTTAGCCAGGATATCTCTGTACCAGAGACTATAAGATCTTCTTGGCTTAAATTCTTTTTTTATTAATCCTTTTTTTTTTTTAGTTGTCAGTGGACGTTTATTTTACTTATTTATATGTGGTGCTAAAGATCAAATTCAGTGACTCACATGTGCTACGCAAGTGCTCTACCACCAAGCTACAACCCCAGTCCTTGGCTTATATTCTTGTGCTGGGGTTGTAGCTCAGTGGCAGAGTACTTGCCTAGCATGTATGAGGCACTGGGTTCCGTTTCTCAGCACTGAATATAAATAAATAAAATAGCCAGGAGTGGTGGTGCATGCCTGTAATCTCAGCTCCTGGGGAGGCTGAGGCAGGAGGATCACAAGTTCAAAGTTAGCCTCAGCAATTTAGTGAGGCCTTAAGAAACTCAGTGAGGGAGCTGGGGATATAGCTAAGTTGGTAGAGTACTTGCCTCACATGCACAAGGCCCTGGGTTCAATCCCCAGTACCACCAAAAAAGAAAGAAAGAAACTCAGTGAGACCCTGTCTCTAAATAAAACACTAAAAAGGGCTGGGGCTGTAGCTCAGCACCAAGCACTTGCCTAGCATGTGTGAGGTACTGTGTTCGATCCTCAGCACCACATAAAAATAAAATAAAAGTATTCTATTTATCTACAACTAAAAAAAAGGGGGGGGGGATGGGTATGTGGATCAGTGGTTAAGTGCCTCTGGGTTTGATCCCCGGTACCAAAAAGAAACAAATAAATAAAAATCCATCAACAACTTAAAAAAAAAAAAAACTGTATAAGAGGGAACCTGGAGTCCTGAGCTAGTGAGTAGAAAAAATATTGTGAGGGCTGGGGATGTGGCTCAGGCGGTAGCGCGCTCGCCTGGCATGCGTGCGGCCTGGGTTCGATCCTCAGCACCACATACAAACAACGATGTTGTGTCTGCCATTAACTAAAAAATAAATATTAAGAAATTCTCTCTCTCTCCCTCTATCACTCTCTAAAAAAAAAAAAAAAAGAAAAAAGAAAAAATATTGTGAGACCTGTGAAGACTCTTCTATCTCCATTCCAAGGAAAAGAACATGTTCTCACCTGAGAAGCTTCCTTTAATACTATGTTTGAGGTTCTGAAAGCCCCATAGGAAGGTATCTCCTGTAAAAGGCCATAGCCATTGTTATAATGGCAGTTACAAGCCAGTAGGCTCCAAGTGGTAGCCATCTGAGACCATGAGAAAAAGACTAAGGTAGAGCTCCCTCCCATAGGACCAAGGGGGACACAGGAAGACCTACTGCTTGCTTTGGAGGAAAAAAAAAAAAGAGGAACACAGGATATTGCTTTGGGTGTTTGTTGGAGTAGCTGGTAGAGTCACAGGAGTGGTTTCAGAATTTTTTCCCCTTCATCCCAGAATTGTTGGGAGAACAATCCACGAAGCTACAAAGTGAGTTAATTGCTTCAAAAGAAAATACGAGATATTTTGTTGTCAACTTAATGTGACTTCTTTAAACTGTTCTCCAAAAATAAGAGCCATTTGGAACAGCTTGCGTTTTCCTGTTYTCATTGTTTTGCCTCTAGGAAATTACAAACAGTGGTTCTTTATCCTTGCAAATAACCCAGGGAGCCCTTAAAATAATACTGAAGCCTGGTTCCCCATACCCATCCAATTTAATCAAAATCTCTAGGAGCGGTGTTGAAATATTAGTGTTTTTTAAAAGCTCCCCAGGTCATTCAGTGTGCACAGTTAAGAACTACCTGTTCTAGAGTCTCATATATTAAAAACGATTAGTGCGGCTTTTGCGCATGCTCACATCCTTTACAGCTACTGTAAACTCACTAATATTTATCCAGCACTCCAAACTTGCAGTGTCCTTCCACAATATGTCGGGGAMACACCGTCAACTTTACTTCCTCTCTCTTGAATGAAACCTGTCATTAGTTTGGGCCAAGGGTACAGATCTGCAGCAGTCGCAGGGCTTTTGACCTCGGGGACGGCAGATGGGGAGAGGGTGCTCCCGGGCCTCCGAGACGCTAGAGAAGGAGGCGCCGGGTGAGACAAACCCGGATCTGGGTCAGGTCCCGCCCCCGAGTCTTTTGGGCTCTGGAGAGCCGAACCGCTCGGGCCGTGCCGCCTACAGACTACATTTCCCACAATGCACCAGGGGGGCGGGCTGGGTCGGGCCAAGCGATTGGAACCGGGCCTCTTCGGCGAGAGGCCAGCGAAGGCTGCCTTCCTGCGCCAGAGGCCGGGTGAGGGGCGGCAAGGGGAAATCGGTGCCGAACTGTTGCCATGTGTGTGTCCGCAAGGGGACGTGGCCCCGCGAAACTGCGCCCCCGGGCCTGGCCCGGCCGGACACCTACACCCCTCCGGGGGTCCGGCAGAGGGCAGTGACTGGCACCCTCTGTGCGTCCTGGTTTCCCCCCAAAAAACAGGTGAGTCCGACTGCCAACCCACGTGGCCTGGGGTCGCTGAGAAGCAGGAGAGCTGTCATCTTTGGAGGGAGGGACTTAAAAGACTAGGGTCCCAGCAACCCTGAGCACCGTTTGTGATAGGAAAGTGGATCTTCCTGGGGTCCCTATGCCGGCTGGCCCATAGCTGGGGAATACAAAAAAAAGAGGCCTGGAACCCATCCTTTGGCCAAGAGGGTGAAATAGTACTCACATCTACCAATGCACGTATATTTGACACTCAGAGTCCTCTCAAAAAAGCAACGCAAGTGTTCTGGAGCTCCTGGAAGGATCTTAGGGCTCAGGACTTTATTCTCAAGGGCGCCCTGGCTAGGTAACTGGGCTGCCACTTGTTCTGAAGCACCCTTTCTAGGCTGCAGTTCGCTTGAGAAGTGTGAGCCCCCTTTGTCAAGGAGGGGAGTGGCCGCCAGAAGTGACAAGTTCCAGGCTAGTCTTTAAGCATAGAGTAAGTATCTTGCTGAAGCAGCCACAGCACAGTCTTAGTAGGACCCTGTCTCTACGTGTCCTTCATCCTGGCAACTCCCTCCCAGATAAAACCACTCTCCAAAGGGTGAAGGTGGGGTGAAACAAGCACTATCCAAGTAGGAAAAGGGAGCAAGGTGATTAGGAACCAGTAGGGAGGAGCTCTTGCAAGGCCCACCCCAGGCACAGTAGAAGGGCTGATTGCACCAACCTGTTTGGTTACTTTGCTTACAAGCCCTGCAAGGGACTTCTAGGAAAAGTAGCAAGTCCTGGGGATATCTAGAGGGGCTGCCTGGTAGAGACATCTGGGCTGATTCTGAAAGACCTTGCCTAACTGATTCAGGCTGAACCTCCCAGCAGCTTCAGTTGCACAGATTATGGGTCTTTTGGGGATTGGGGTGGGTTTTGTGTGATTCACTGAGCTTTTCTGCCTGAATTTCCAAGATAAGTATTCAAAAAGCTATTTGCTCCATCAGGCTTTCTGGCGGAACCCCAGATTGATCTTGGAGAAACTGAGATGCTACATGATCTCACATGGCAGGGGGACTGTGGTGAAAGAGGTACTCACTAGTGGGTGTGGTCGCACACCTGTATAATTGCAGCAACTCTGGCTACTGAGGCAGGAGGATCACAAGTTCAAGCCATCCACAGCAATTTAGCAAGGCCCTAAGCAACTTAGTGAGACCCTGTCTCAAAAAATAAAAAGGGGCTGGGGGGGGGGCTGGGGTTTAGCTTCAGTGGTAGAGTGCATGCTTAGCACATGTGAGGCACTGGATTCAAGCCTTAGCACCACATAAAAAAATAAACAAAATAAAGTAAAAAAAAAAAAAAAAGGATTCTTGGGGCTGGGGTTGTGGCTCAGCAGTAGAGCACTTGGCCTTGGTTTGATCCTCAGCACCACATAAAAATAAGTAAACAAAATAAAGTAATTGTGTCCAACTACAACTAAAAAATAAATATTAAAAAAAAAAAGATTTGGGGGCTGGGCCTTTAGCTCAGTGGCAGAACACTTGCCTGGCATGCATAAGGCACTGGGTTTGATCCTCAGCACCACATAAAAATAAATAAAATAAAGGCATTCTGGCCATCTACAACTACAAAAAAATTT